AGCATTTGTGCAAGTCTATCTGGAGAACACTTATCCTGAGAGTGGCTGCTGCAAAATGGATTCACCATGAACACACCAGCAAGTCCTTTATATGGGAGACCTTTCTGAAGACGCATAGTTCACATTAGTATATGGGCAGCTTTAAAGATTTACAGGAAAGAAACCTGCTTACTTGTGCCTAACCTAGCATGACCCAGACTTATTTGACCACAGGAGACTTTTTTCATGTGACAGCAATTCCTAGAAACCCTTTGGGGAATACAGCTTTAAAGAACAGCTAGGCTCAAATAATGGCATTTAAATATCAGGGACCTATGAGAATCATCTGTTCCCACTCTTGTTAGAAAGTCATCTCTCTTTTAGGGGAAGGAGAGGTCGTGGTTCAACATAATGCAACAAAACACCTATGTTAACAAATGGCCCCTACTACCTCAAGTGAAGAGTGGAAGTCCAGCAGGGATTGCGTTAGGTTCGAGGAACCTTTGGATTACTTTTGCACTCAATCTACAGAAATGTTCCATCACGGTGATGCTGTCACCTGACATTGTTCTCACACCTGGCTTTCTGAATGGCATTAGCTGTCTGAACTCAAACGCTACAGACCAACACCTAGATCGCACTGGCTTAAGAAATAGGTTAGATAAACTTTCACTTAAATCACCATTAAAAGTTTTCTGGTCCCTTGTTTCTCCTGCTTTATCTTGCTTCTTTGTGTGGACTGTGATGCTCTGTTGTCTCTGAGGCATTGTGACGTTTTTGTGTTTATATTTAATTAATGATTGTATGTTGGAGTGACTTGCTCATGATTTTTGTTTACTTTGTTTTGTTTGTATGTTATCTACGCAAGCAGGGTACTGTGCTGGGCTCCTCTATTCACTAGTTGACAGCACTTATAAACTCACCACCTGTCTCCTTTCCTTTGTCAGCCTCTTATATGTCCCTGCCGACCTTGGCTAACAGCCTGTTCTTAGGTCCCTGGAATCTGAATTAGAATGCTATCACTTTAAAATCCAAAATGGTTGCCACTTGTAAAGATTCAAAATGGCTGTGCCCTCGGTCACTTTAAATATCCAAAATGGCTGTCACATGTAAACCATCAAAATGGCTGCACCCTCTGCACAGCAGAAAGTCAACAGCTCAGGTTGTCTACCTCCTTGCTGTTTCCCTTCCTAGTCATAGGCCACTACTGCAGCTGTTGGTGACCAGGACTGATCTTTAGGTCAATTCTCATGTCCCAACACCAGTTGGAAATATTCAGGCTGTTGGGCCCATCTGAGTAGCTGAGAGTTTGCAGCTCTGTCTCTGTACTCACTGTTTTCGTTCAGGTTTTTCCACTAGTTGGTGCCTAATCCACTTCTGTATCCTTCCTTTCAAAGCTTAGGGCTCCAGGATTATCTTCTGTATCTCTGTCAGTTGGTTTTTCTTTTCTTTGTTGAAGAGGGTCTGCGTTGCTTGTCAGCCTATTCCTCCATCTTACCGGAAGTCTTCACTTGGCTTTGTATCACTCTTACCCATCTCTGCTTCTTTCGCTTGCTTGTTTCATCTCTTTCATATCTCAAAGGTTACTGACTCAAGTCACACACTGTACTGATCCTGTCTCATTACCATAACAATGATAACCCATTCCCAAATGGGACTGTAACCACAGGCATAAAATTTAGGATTTACAAGACTTATTTTTAGGGGGACACAATTTAATCCATAGCATTAATGTCTTAGGCTGGGTTCTGTACAGAAGCAAAGCCAGTGAAGCTTATGTGTGTTTATCTGTGTATGTGTCTAAAACCAAAAAAAAAA